AGGCGGAGCTATGAGTTGTCGCAGCGAACGCCAGTGTCCTCGACATCAAGCGAGATGAACCAAGTTGACGAGCCATGCAGAGACACTTCGCTGCCGGAGATGGGCTTTTATGGGGGCATCTTTATTCAAGGATTTGGCATGTCCTTGGTAGACTCCACTCCTCATGAACTCGCATATTTCTGCGTGTCGGGAATTCGTTTTGAGGTGGGGAGACTCCATAAAGCAAGCGTACACGACATCCGCTTCTCGATAAAATCCCTTCAGATAGACAACGGCGTTCCAGGAGCTCAACACCGAACGATCGTGAGGCATGCAACACTGGAAGAACGGGCGGAACGGCATGGAGAAAGCAAATTAGTCCTTTCAGGAGATGGATCCATGGCAGGAGGTGCCTCTGAAGGCATGTTATGTTCCGTTCCTAAGCCTGTTACAGCGTGGGATCCATTGGAAGATGGCGAAGGGGAGGATCAAAGTCCCTTTTTCCGTTTTCAGCTAGGTGGCCAATGGAGGGATGAGGCGACGCTGCTAGATTATGTTGATGTCGAGCTTGCACCCATAGCAGTACACGTAGAGGCGGACACTACATCTGTGCTCCTTCGCTTCCTTATGCAGCTGGTACAAAACCGGACCTTCTTCCTCCTGTCATTGCAAGAGCACAACATACAGTTGGTGCAAGACGCAGCTGCAAATAATGTCAACACTTCTGGGTACCAGCAGCTCCGAGCCTTCCCGCAAACCACAGTTCCCGTCGCAGCTAGCCTTAAGCCTCTGTACATCCATGAACTTGCGATACGGCCTATGCTGATCATCTTCTCAACTCGCTCCCAACGCCTGCAGAGGGGACGCGCTACCGCGGGCCACGGAGACTTGGTGGCTATACGCCAGTTCCAAGTTCTTGGTGATCGAATGACTGACATAACGAATTTCCCAATGAAGTCCCGACTCCTTGCTCAGCAGTGTGTTTTTACAAATGCTGAGCAGCTCGTGACTGACATAGGATATTCGTACATTCAGCAATGCATCTGGCAGCTCCACAAACTGGTTGCGTCGATAGATGTAATCGGAAACCCTCTTCGCCTAATCACTGGAGTTTCTTCCAGCTTGCGGCTCGCCACTGCGCATCAATCTGACGGTACGCTAGCTAGTTGATTGGATATGCCTACGAGAGCAAAGCGCACAGCTGTCTGCCCAGCTTGAACTTCTGAGGTTTGCATAGAATGCTTCCTTACAATTCAGTTCACTGCACTAGAGTGTAGCGTCAGTCGCACAAAATGTTACGTTGGAAGCACGGAATTTCTCTAAATTACGACTCTGCACTACACCCTTACTATCTTTGCGGTTCCCATGTTGGGCTGACATTTCGTAAGCGCAGCTGCGATGTCCTCAGAGGCTTCGATTGCTGAGCCAAAAACGTGGAGGGCGATTCACTGCGTCTCAACATTGGTGCTCAACTTCGCTAGCGAATTTTTTACCTCCATTAGCAACATATCTGGCGGCCTTGCAAACCTTTTGAAATTGTTGGGCCTCACAGATCTACAAGGTATTTTATCAATTTGGCCCGAATCCATTAGGGTGCCCCGTGCGCGGATCGAACGGCCAGAAACATTGCTGGATGGCATATATGCTGGTTGCATCGGATTTGTCCAGATAGTTGGAGGATCCGTACTTGGCATAAGGGACATTTGCGACCACAGTGCACTAGAATACGGCCTTTGGCGGTTTTGCACGGACACTGCACAGCGAATAGTATTTGTTCTAACTTCTCCCGCCGTTGCAATTCTCGTGTTCGTCGCAGCTGTTGCTGCAGGAATCAGCAGTGCTTTGCGGCACAAATCTGTAATTGAGAAAACCCGACCACGCCGTGTGTTTCCGCCAGAAATGACTGTGTCACAATACAGACTTCATACATCACGTGCCATGACTTTACTGGAGGCAAGCACGAAAAAGAGCCTTGTGCCAGGGACGTTACAGTCTGGCATCGTTGCTTACCCACTACCACAATCCCGCGCGCCCCGCCCCCGCAGGCAACATCATGGAGAAGAAAGCAAGAGAAATCTCGCCAAGGACTATTTGCTCGTCACTTCCGACTTTGTGGTCTGCCTGCGCGACGGAAAAGCTCAGTGGGTCTGCCGCAAGGAGGACATTCAGGAATGTAGCGTGAACATGCCAGCATATATATTTGGCGCACTACTCGCCCAACAAGATCTGTTCGTACGAAATAGAGAGAAGCCTGAGGCTGCTTATGCTCCTGAAGTTGAGCCACATGGATTGGAAACGCACGAACGAGCTTCTTACGACCAAGGCAGCTCATGCATTGTGCACGTAAAAGTTACCAACCAGCTAAGGCTGCCAGAGGACGTCCTTCGCAGCTTCTCAGCGGCATACAAGGCATATCTACGCCACGCCACTGCCAAACGCAGTGTCGTTCAGGCATTAAGGGACAATTTCAAGGCTCACTTTGGCGGCAGCGACCCGAGCACCGTTCGCCATCTTCACTCAAGCCAGGCACGCGTCCCACATCAGCAAAATAGAACCGCTGGAACCAGGGACAGCGATGCCGTCCCTCTACTCGTTGAGGATATGGCTTGCATTCTTTCAAATGCAAGAAGCGTGCAAGCTAGAAATGCAGTAGAACGTGGCCAAAGCGGCGACCCCCAAGGTAGTGCAGACTATCGACGAGAGGGCTTGCAAACATCCAGCAGCCATCACAGGCTTTCGTTTCTGGGGCTGCTGTCCAACTGTCAAGCTTGCTGGAGACGTAGAATATTGGGAAGCACAGGGAATCTGCAACGCGGATTAGGAGGGCCTTCGTCCTGGTGGGATTGGCTCCGTTTCCTCCGTCGACGGAAACCTCCTTCTCAGCCGGAGGAAGTCACGTTTACCGTTCGTTCCCCAGATAGAGACATGGCTCTACAAGTATTTGATGCGCTCTGTAGTACAACTGAGTGTTATTTAGCGGCAAGGCGCAGAAGAAGTAAAACTGACAGGCTGAACTAAGCCAAAATGCGCTTGACCCGTTGAGGCATGCGAATCTTTGTTGCTTCAGAATGAAATTTTCCTTCTCAGTCATACCTGTATGGCATTCTAATGCTAACGCGCACAAATTTTGCCTTTGTGCTTTACCAGCAATGGGCACAGCTTCCCTCGTCAGCCCGTAAAGCCCAGATGAGCCAATGGAGCGAGGAAAATAGGCTTCAACGGAAGTTTAGCGGCCTGCACCTGGATCTGGCATGGCGCTACGGCACCAGCCAATGCTGAGTAGTGCACGAATATACTGTTTGGGGTAAAGTAGCCGCATATGACTGTACACGGCTTCCCGCACAGACGTCGGCTCAGAGTCGACGACACAACGGTGTTACACCGTTCGGCCATACTACTATGCAAATTCAACCTATTCAAATTAAGCCGTGAGTTCACTTCTTCAACAGAAAAGAACTGCCTTCCCTACCCTACTGAGCAGCATGCACAAGGGCTACCGCGGCTACCAGCATGGCTGCTCTTTCACCGCTCCTATAGGAGCAAATATGCCTCTAGACCCATCACTTCCGTTGCAAGCTGCGTGATGCTTTTCGCCGGCGCCACAGCAGCGCCCCGCGCTACAGTCCCTTCTAGTACGGGGCATGCTTGGGCTTGTTAGCCCCAAAGCATTGCCGACCTGGCCTTTCTCGGCTTCTTCATTGCCCTGCTGCCCTGCGTCGTAGCCTCACCGCGCTTGCTGCCTATGTTCTTCCCCCACCTTTCCTGCGAGTTCCCATTGACGCGCTTGTTACTTTCAGTGCTCCGCGCTACACTGGCTGCAAGTCCACAGCCGCATCAGATGGCTTCTCCGTGTGGACCAGGAAATCTGGAAAGCCAAGTCGAAAAGTGCAGTACTGTATTGTAAACCCATTCTGAAGGAAATCAAGCCACTCTGATGAGTTCAGCCGGGTGTAGAATCGCTCATACTGCAGAAGCATATGGCTGGTGCGTTCGGTTAGACCGTGTGCCTCCGGTTGGTGAGGGGTGACCATGCTCTGCTTAATATAAAGCCGCTTCACAAATTTGAGTCAATATGAGCTAGGGAACTTCGGGTCGCTGCAAGTAATGATGTTTCTGGATAACCCTGGAGCTTCCAGACATGATTCGTAAATAGTTAGCCAATCTCTCTGGTCTCACAGATCTCGCGGGGGAGATGAAGCGGGCACACATCCTGAGTCTATCCACAACTCATATGCTTTTGCAGCCTTTCCCTGATGGTAAATTCACCACGATATCCAATAGAGTATCCTTCCAGACTGGTTTCCGAATCGGGGGACTTGTCTGTGTTTTGAGACTGTCCCGCGGTGTTCGATGCGGACAAATACAGCGGGGAGTGGAGGCGCATTTGCTGATGGGGTTTTCACCTCCTCCTGCCTTTTCACTGCGCCGCATCTTGAGTGGAGGACCCAACATTTGGCTGACCGCTTGGTTTGTTTCCCTTGCGGCGCCTCAAGAAGTTCGCTACTCCACTTTCTGACTTCTGCAATAGCGAATTATGCGACCTTGTTCACTTCACGAAAAGCAGATATGCCGCTTAGTACATTTTCCCGGCTTTTATGTAGCTCAATACCCCTGCTGCTGGCGATTAGGATTAGGGATTTTTGTCTTCTACTGGGAGGGTGGGGTTGCCATTCCCACCCCTGACATCCAATCGCTCAATATCAAGCGCATTTCCAAACCTGCTGCCTTCTTTCTCAACTAGGGCGATGAAAGGGGCGTTTTTATCTCTTTAAAAGGTAATTATTCCATCATCTCGGCTAGGTGAACCCTTTTCCCTCTTTATCGCTTCGCGACCCCGGCGGCTGCCTATTGCCTTTCTCGGGTTAAGGACCTTCAGTTATCGTGGGCTACAGTTGAATTGTTGCTCACCAAAGATTAATGCATCTAGACGCAACTCTATCGATAGCTCTTCTTTTGTGTTTGCTCAAGCCGGCCATAGCGTGTTACGTTGCCGACCTGGGAATAAGCCTGCATCACAGCTCACTGCAGAAGGCTCTCACATTCCGTGTTTGTCTCAAAAAAGTGGTACGGTTGCCTGGATGAAACTTCCATTTTCGTGCCTTTCCTTTTAATAACGAAGATGCCAATAGCAACTGCATTTCTGGAGATGTAGTTCCAATTCCAGAGACGCTGCTCCACTGCTCTCACATTGCCACGGCTTTCATATTTGGACAATCAATAGAGGCCTTGGCATTCTTCACGAATTGCTTTCGCCGTAACATGATTCTCCCTGGGTGGTATGCAGATGCTGAGTTGCTGTCAACTCGACGAATCTGCCAATCGTTCGTCGCATCACCGCCAGACGGCGGACCCTGACAATCTCCATAATGCAAGAGAAGGAATGGCTAAATTTTTCGAAATAGATTTTTGGGAACCCTAAATTCATCTTCCGAATTCATTGTTATGCATTCTTTCGCCCAGCTCGGCCGGTGGAGTTCGTTGCTCTCACCCGTCGTAATAAACGATGCACCACTATCACGAATTCGCGGTCTTACTCTATGACTTTAACGAGCGGGAATAATACCGAAAGCGTTAAGGGAGAGGTTCCTAAAAAGCAGATAGCTCACCAGCAGCCCATTCCCTTCGTAATCCCCAGACGTACTGGGCACACCGGCTGAGCACCTAAGGCTGGGGTGCTCGCCTTCGATCGGTTGCAGCGCACGTCGTCGCAACTAACGCCGTAGGGAACCTTAAAATTCTAGTACTGCCTAACACCATTTTGCTCTTTGCTTCAACACTGCCTACATTTGCTGTATACAGCCTGCGTGCTCGCTGCAGAAAACTGCTAGGTACGCGTGCATGCACGAACATCGGACAGACTATCCTACACAAACGACTGCGCTGTATGCACAACTTCGTAGATAATTGTTACTCATTTATTATCCCCTTAACATCCACCGTGCACACACATAGAAATGCACCCCCCACCCTATGAACACCATGCTACAACCTTGCTGCCGCAGCAGGGAACGCCACAGGAAGCAAGAGGGGATGCTGCCGCAACAATCGGCGGAAAGAAGCGCGCCTTTAAGGCCTTTAAACAATAATAAAGAATATAGTTTACAATAACAGAGCAACAACAACACCTATCGAGCGAGAAGCTCTGCTGCGAGCGACGCCCCGAGAGGCAGCAGCAACCCAGACAGCACAGCAAGGGGTGGGGGGCCCCCTGGGGGGCCCCAAAATGCAGTAGAGCTGACACCAGTTCGAGGCTCCTGAAGGGTAATACGAAAAGACATATGTAAAAAGAGTTCGGAATTAAGCGATAGAGAGAAAGGAGACAGGTTGGGCTGCTGCAGCACGCCATCCTACTGCTGCTGCTGCTGCTGCTGCTGCCTAGTGGGGGGCCGGGGCCGTCAGGCCAGTGGCTGAGGCCTGCCGTATCGGAATTCGGGAGCGAAGTGTCTCCTTGGTATGCGCCGAGTAAAGAATTAAGAGAGGGACTTCTATGTGCAGAAAGAGAGCATTAGCCTTCTAGGGGACCCAGGAGACGGCCCCCGCATACAAGGGCGTTGCTGCAACAGCAGTAATAGCAGCAGGAGCAGCGGCAGCAGGACCAGCTGCTGTGGCTGCTGCTGGGGGAGCAGCAGAAGCTTCAAGACATCAATAAACGAAATATTTGAAACTATCACTACAGCAACAGCAACAGCAACTGCAGCACACTTTTGCAGCCGCCTTCGGCGCGGCAGGAGCAGCTGAGGCCTTCTCAACTCCAGCGGTGTTTGGGGGGGACAGGGGGCGCTCCCCTGGGTTATGCCTCTTCTGTTTTGTTTTGTATTTAGTTTGTTTAAGCTGTACACATCCTTTAACTCTCCTGTTATTGCTTGGGGGTTCGCTGGAGCCCCGCTAGACAGCAGCTGCTGCACCGCGGGCCTCGCGGTGCAGCAGCTGCAGCAGCAGCTGCTCTTCTGTATCACATACAACCCATGGCTGCGCTTGTTACGGGGCCCTCTAGGTCCCGTGCATGCAGCCAGCCTCCTCGTGGGAGTGCTGGGGCTTCGGGAGACCCCTCCTGCTTCCCCAAGGCAGGAGCGGCAGCAGCTGGAGGAACAGCAGCAGCAGCTTCTGGTGTTGCTGCTTCTGTTGGTGGTTCTGAAGAAGACGCCGAAGGAGCTGCTGTAGACTGCAGCACGACAGAATCTATTCTTCTTTCTACCAGAGTTGCAGCTGCAGCAGCAGATACCCCGCAAGACGACTTGGGGTACAGCAAGGCTCCGTTGCTGCCACCATGCTTGCACGGCGCTGCAGCAGAAGCAGCAGCAACGGGTGAGGCATCCAAGTGTCTTGATGCGGAGTCAGCAGCAGCAGCAGCAGCAGCAGCAGCAAGTGGAGGGAAGCCATACAACTGGTTGGCTGCAGCGTCACCAACAGCAGCAGGCGGTTGGAGGTCCCCCCCAATGTACTGCAGCACTGCGGTGTCTCCTTCTTCTCGCTGCGAGCAGCTGTCTTGCTGCGGCTCTCCTGCTAGCCGGTGGGGTGAGTGCTGCTGCCTCTCCAGCCTTCAGCTGCAGCAGCTGCGGTGCGCCGAACCCCCCGCCCGCCAGCCCGCTGCAGCAGCTGGCGCTGCAGTTGGTGCTGCAGCTGGTTGTGCAGCTGGTTGTGCAGCTGGTGCTGCTGCGGCTGGTGCTGCAGCTGGTGCTGCTGCTGCAGCTGCAGCTGGCGCCGCTGCAGGTGGTGCTGCTGCAGCAGACCCCACAGCAAATGCTGATGAAGGATTCCAAACCATCCAGCAGCAGGGGGAAGACTGCAGCAGCAGCAGCTGCAGCAGCAGCGCAGGAGGGGAGATTTTGCCAGCAGGGATGCAGGAACAGGGAGCCCCAGGGAACGGTGCAGCAGCAACCGTAGGTGATGCTGCTGCATCGGTAGCAGCAGAAGCAGCAGCTCCTGCTGCACCAGCAGCAGTAGAAGCAGCAGCAGCTGCTGCACCAGCAGCAACAGAAGTGGCAGCTTCTGCTGCACCAGCAGCAGCAGAAGCAGCAGCTGCTGCTACAGCACTCAATGATACTGAAGTTGCTGCTTGCTCCCCCTCTGCAGCAGCAGCCAAGTGCGACGAAGGACTACCAAACCCATCTCCTGCGTGGGATAGTGAGGGGGCCCCTGCTGCTGCAGCAGAAGCAGTAAAAGCGGCAGCAGCAGAAGCAGTAGCAGATGCTACTGCAGCAGAATCACCAGACATCACCATAAGAGCAACAATGACGACAGAAAATATAGCAACAGGTGTGGCGGCGGAAGCAGCAGCACCTGCAGTAGCGGCAGCACCTGCAGCAGCAGCAGCAGCAGCAGCAGAACCTGCAGCAGCACCAGTAGCTTCAGCAGAAGCGGCAGCAGCAGCAGCAGCTGGTGGTAGTGGATCAGCATCTGCCTCAGCAGCTTCGGGTTGTGTGGATGCTCCGTCGTCTCAGCAGCGAGCTGCAAAGGAGACAGCAGGGCAGACAACAGCAGCAGAAAGAGGGGCAGCAGCAACAACAGCAGCAGCAACAGCAGCGGCCGAAGCAGCAACGCCAGCAGCAGCCGCAGAAGAAGACACAGAAGGATGGATTGCGGTGAAGCCCCGGCGGCCCCGCCGCTGGGCAGATGCACCCATATCTGACGACGAAGATTGCAACATGGTAAGGAACCTTAGCCCCAAACCCTAAACCCTAAACCCTAGACCCTGAATTGTTAGGTCTACAGAGCCTAACGGGTGCGTATCTGTCTTCATCTCAGTAAAGGAGTGCATGCAAGGGGGGATTAGCTGCTGCTGTATTTCTCTGTGGCTGTTCTGTCTGCAGCGTCGGTGCCCCCGTAGGCCCCACAGCGGCGCCCTCACTGGGCCGCAGCGGCAGCCTCAACGTGCTGGGGGCCCTCCAACTGTTAGGAGGCCCTGCAGCTACGTAGATAGAGGCCCTGCAGCAGCAGCAGCAGGCGGCAGGCACCACCGACACCCCCACCACGTCTGTGTCTTCAGCGCCGCTGTTGCTGCTGGCCTTGTGAATCCAGGAAGAGATACTCAAGTTGTGCCCAGCGAGCAGCAGCAGCAGCAGCAGCAGCAGCAGCAAAACTACGCGGAGGCCGACAGGGACTTCCGACGGCCTGGGGGCTCGTGGCCTTCGCATTCCTGCGGGTGGTATCTTTGGTAAGTAGAGCTGCAGCAGCAGCACCAGCTCCAGCAGCAGCATAAGCTGCAGCCGCGTTAGCTGCAGCAGCATTAGCTACAGCATCATCTGTGCTGCATCATTAGCTGCATCAGCATTTGTGCAGCATCATTGGCTGCAGCAGCATTTGCTGCAGCAGCAGCAGCTGGAGCAGCCTGCTGCGGGTGCCAGGTGCCTGCGGGAGCTTTGCGCATGCATCGGCTCTTGCTGTGTCGTCGATGTTGTGTTCAGGCACAGCCCCATGGGGAACGAGGGGAGCGGCAGCAGCAGCAAAAGCAGCAGCAGCAAGGGGCGGCTGCAAGAGGACTATGAGAGAGGCCTTGTGCAGATTGGTGAGTGGTCGCCGCAGCAGCAGTAATAACAGTACAAGTGACAGCAGCAGCAGACGTAGCAGCAGCAGTGGCAGCAGCAGCGATAGTCACACCAGCAGCAACAGCAGCAGCAACAACAACAGCAGCAGCAGCAGCAGCACTATGCATATTAAGAGTGTGTATGCATGTGTATGTATATGTGGCAACAGGGCGCGTAGGGTCTGCGAGAGGTATCGTTGACCTGTGGAGTTTGCTGTCTCCTCGTGCTTTGGGGCCTCCAGTGAATGTTGCTGCATGCGTTGGGGGCTGTCTACCTCTGTGGGAGGACCCGGTTAATAGAAGCGGGGGCCACTTCATTATTAGAAGCCTCGCCGGCAAGTCGCAGGCAGTGGTGAGTCTTTGCTGCTGCTGCTGTTGCTGCTGCTGTTGCTGTTGCTGCTGTTGCTGCTGCAATGGGGCTCCCTGCTAGGCCGACGAGGCCCACTGAGGCGGTAGGGCCTGGGTGTACAGACAGAAGCAACACAATAGAGACAGCAGTGAACATATTTGAACAGAGAAGGAGCTCTAGGACAGGGGTGTAAAGGGAACACGAGACACGCATTCAACGCAGTGCTGCCGAGAGTGATGTTATCTGCTGCTGCTGCTGCCGCTGCTGCTGCTGCCGCTGCTGCTGCTGCTACTGCTTTAGTAGGGGGATTCTTTGGGGCCTTTCTGGTGCTGCAGCAGCTGTCTTGTGTGTCTGCGTTGTGGTGAAGGGCGTATTTTTGCTGCTGCTGCGGTCGCTGGAGCAGAAGCAGCAGCACAACAGACGTTCTCTGAAGGCTCTTCTGTCTACCCTTACAGCAGTTGTGCTCTGTCTGCGCAACAACGACAAGAGCCACAAAGTGGAGGTGCGAGACCCTCTGTCAGGCGATTAGCGGCGGCAGCAGCAGCAGCGGCAATTGTTGCTGCTGCTCCTGATTGCTGCTGCTGCTGCTGTAGCAGCTACGTCACGTTGCTTTGACCTCTCTTGGTTTAGCATTCGCCATGTCGGCAGTTATTATTGCTGCTGCTTCTGCTACTCGCCCTGTTGAGCTCTGCTTCTGTTGCTGCTGCTGCTGCTGTTTTCAGGTGTGGGTGGGTTCAACTGCTTGTCAGACGCTGCGGCAACAGGAGGCGCAGCTGCGGGAGTTCTTGAGCTGTGCTGCAGTGGGGCTGCACCGTCTAGACTTTGCTTTTCTGTCTCATGAAGCCTGCTTAACTCGACACCACCGGAAGGTAAGGGAGCAGTTAGGTGTCTATACACCCCATACAACAGACAGCGAGGGAAGAAGGCTTAGGGCCGCAGCGTGCAGCAGAAATAGAAGCATACATGCACACATATGTACATATATATATATATGTTTATATATAAACAAATAGTATATAGCCTTATTATATTGGGAATTTGTAGAAGTGATTATCTTTCTTGTTACGACATTAGGAGAACGGTCAGAGGCCGATGCTGTGTCTCTTGTGCTGCTGCTGTTGCTGCTGCAGCTGCGCCTTAAACCGCAAAGACGGGAACCGGAGGCGTTGCCAGCAGCAGCAGGCGGGACGGCGTCTTCACAACAGCAACAGCAGGATCAGCGGAAGCAACAAGAGCAGCAGCAGCACCACCACCAACAGCAGCAGCAGCAGCAGGTTTTGCTCGGCCGGGGGGTCCCAGAGGCAGACGCAGCAGCAGTGCGGGGGACCTCCCCAGGCACAAGCGGCGGCCTCCATCACCCCTCTATTGAAGGGGCCTCGTCTGCATATGAAAGTCTCAGCACTGACACGGGGAGCTCGCGGCGTAGCAGTAGCAATAAGGGGGGCTTCGGCAGCAGCAGCAGCAGCAGCGGCAGCGTCGCAAGTCTCTGCTGTGAGACAGGATCTCATGCAAGCTACAAGAGCGTTATTCTCAGGGGTAGCCACACAGGGAGACAGGTACAGCGGTGCGGTGTCTTACCAGTTAACCCAACCCAGGGGCCTCCTATCAGCAGCAGCAGCAGCAACAGCAGCAGTAGTAGCAGCAGCTGCCGCGTAGGGGTGAATGTGCCGGAAGATGAGAAGAGAGCAGTGCACAAGGACAGTACAGAAGTTCTGCCTCAAGCGAATAGACAGCAGGTGCAGCTGCAACAGCAGGTGCTGCAGCAAGATCAAGCTGTCAGCAGCAGCAGCAGCATCAACAGTGCCAGGCCGTCAGCATCATCTGGAGGGGCTGTAGGTGCTGCTGCAGGGAAGTTGGCGGGTGCCCCTGCCTTTGTTGCTAGCGGGAGAGAGACAATGTATATCATGGAAGGTGCAGCAGCAGCAGGGGCAGAAGGTGCAGCAGCACCAAGGGCAGCAGGTGCAGCAGCAGGAGGGGCAGAAGCAGGTGCAGCAGCAGGAGGGGCAGAAGCAGGTGCAGCAGGTGCAGCAGCAGCAGGAGGGGAAGCAGCAGGTGCAGCAGGTGCAACAGCAGGTAGTCGGGTGTCTCGGGGAGGTGCTGCAGTGGGGAGGAGACTAGGAGGGAGACAGAAACCCCCAAGGAGACAGTACGGAATGTGTGTGGGCAGCGAGGGACTCCGACCTGAGGAGCAGCTGCTGCAGCACCTTTACTCCTTCAATGCCAGCGACATCCCCGACTACTTCTCCATGCAGCAGGCAGCATATCAGGGCCGTGCTGCTGTATATCAGAGTTACGCTGCTTGTGCATCTGCAGCAGTTACTGCGGAAGAAGCTGCTGCTGCTGCTGTGCAGCAGCAGCAGCAAGTTGGAATTATGTGGGACTTCCCTCCATTGACTTCTTCAGTGGCGGCTCCTGTGGCGGCGGCAGTTGCTTCTGCTTCTGCTGCTGCTGCTGCTGCTGCTGGGGTAGACCCTTGTGAGGGCCCGAAGCAGCATCCAAAGCAGGCGCAGCTGGTGGCGCAGAACGCAGCGGGAACCCCAGAAAACGGCAGCAGCAGCAGCAGCAACAGCAGCAGCAGCACGCCGCAGGGTAAGCAGTTCGCGTTTAATCCACATGCCCCAGGGTTTGTTATGCCAGCCCGTCCGCTCTCATCCTCTCCACTGGCGACAGAAACAGCAGCAGCGGCAGCAGCAGCAGCAGCTGCTGCTGCTGCAGCCAGTGGCGTGGAGGGCGTCAGCGAGTGTTGTGCTGCAGCTGCGGCTGAAGCGTCCCGAAATTTGCTGCTGCAGCCTGCTGTAGTTGCTGACGCGAGCACTGTCTCCTCTATTGGAGCTTCATTTGTAAGCGACTGCGATTCTGCCGGGGGTGGTGCTGCTGCGACAGAGGCGGAGGCAGCAGCAGCAGCAGCAGCAGCTGCTGCTGCTGCTGCAGGCTACATGGGGGGCTTGCTAGATGCAGACTTTGTCGACCCGCAAGACCCCTCTTCTTTGCTGCTAATTACGCTGATGCTGCACCCCTCTCTAGATGAAGGGGACCCGCTGCAGGTGCCGCTGCTGCCGTTTCCAAGGATGGATGGGCAGGCTGCTGCCTTGGAGGCTCAGGGATGGGAGGTGCAGGAGACTCAGCAGCAGCAGCAGCAGCAGCAGCAGCATCAATTACGAGCGGGGGACAACTGCAGCAACAGCCCATCGCAAATAAGCCTTACCCTGGACTACGAAGAAATCACCCAGACGTTGTCAGTAGACATTCAACAGAATTAAGGAGACGCCTGTCTCCTTTCTGTCCCCTCATCATCTTCTTTCTGGGCCCTTTGACTCCCCACACCACAGCAAGGAGACACAGCCCCGCAAGAAGCGAGCCCGTAGCCGAGGGACGAACTAGTCTTGTTCATACTCTTCTTCTTTATAGATGACTCTCTAATTGAAACGAAGGCTTTGCTGCAGAGGTGCAGCGAGCAGGAGATACCAGACCTGCAGCTGCAGCAGCAGCAGTGGCTGCTGTTGTCCCTGCAGCTTGTGCAACTGCAGCCCCTGTAGCTGCACAGCAGCAGGTGCTGCAGCAGATGCTGCAGGTGCTGCTGCTGCCGCTGCTGCAGGTGCTGCAGCAAGGAGTGGATCAACCTGTATCCAGCTGCAGCCGTAGCTGCACGACAGATTTTCTCGTATCTGAGTTCTGTGAGTTCTGTGGCTTTAGTGCACAGTTTCATTTTTATGTCTTCCGGGATTATATATAAGCCCTGATGCTGCTGCAGGGGTGTAGTTGATGCTGCTGCTGCAGCAGAATATCTTGGTGCGAACGGCCAGCATCGGCAACAGCAGCAGCAGGAGCAGCAGCACCAACAGCTGCTGCTGCTGCTGCTGCTGCTGTAGCAGGAGCTGTTGCGGGGACGGCGAGGCGTCAGCGCATCTCAGCAGCAAATCAATGAAGGGCTTGAAGGACATCAAGGAATGGCCCTTCTTCGTTTATATCTGTTCTTCTATCTGCTGCAAGTGCTTCGCCGTGTTGTGTGTCTGTGGAGTGTCTCTTCAGGCCCTTCGTTATGTGTGTAGCTGAATTGACTTGCGGGTTTGTATTTATATGTCTCCTTGCGTTCGGTTGGGGAGGCTAGCTGGCTGCAAGCGTCTAGAGCGTAGCTGCAGCAAGAAGAAAAATAAAAGAGAGTGAACGTGCTCTGGGTGCTGCTGTCTCTCGTATAATTTTCAAACAAGAGACAGCAGCAGCCCCTTTTGCATGCATTCAGATGTCTTGTTCTCCGTAGAAGGAAGAGACACTTTATTAGAGACACCACCGGTGAGGGAGTACAAATAGGCCCCAAAGTCTCGAAGTCAATATATGCAACCGGGCAGCGTTTGTTTCTTTTCATTTTGTTATAAGGGGTTCAGTTAGCCCGTAATGCAGCAAGCAGAATACAGGAGACAAAGGGGACTGTCTCCTGTCTGTCTCCGCAGCCTTCAGCAAAGGAGACACTCATGCACTGCACACTGTCTCTCTTGCTGCAAGAGAGACATCTAATCATTTTGACTAACTCGGTCACGGGCGAACCCCCTCCTCAATGGTGTTTTTGTTACATTGCTGCGGAGAGGCAGCAGCAGCAGCAGTTGCTGCTGCCGCTGCTGCTAATCAAAGTTCGGTAGGAGACAGCCTGTAGCAGTAAGTAGCTAACTGCAGCTAGAGCTGCCTGTTGCAGCAGTAGATAGACTGCAGCTAGAGCTGCCTGTTGCAGCAGTAGATAGAGACCATAGGCTGCTTCTTTTGCTGCTGTTGTAGGAGTGTAGCAGCAGCAGCGGGAGCAGCACTACCCGAGCTACTTTCTGAGTGAATAAGCAGATCTGCAGCTGCAGCAACTCAGCTTATAATTGCACCTTTGTCTGCCATCCAGAGCGTGCAACAGCAGCGCGCTGCTGCTGCTGCTGCTGCCGCTGCTGCTGCTGCTGCGGCTACTGCTGCTCCCGTTGCTGCTGCTGCAGCTACTGCTGCTAACGCTACGGCTTCTACCGCTGCTTCTGCTACTGCTGCTGCCGCCACTGCTGATGCTACTGTTGCTGTTGCTACCGCTGCTGCTGGTGCTACCTCTGCTTCTACGGCTGCTGCTGCTGCTGCTGCTGCAAATTAGAAAACAGGACAGCCCGGGAGTATCCGCCCTCTCGAGTGTTTCTGATTAAAAACAAACTACAAAGAAAAGTGTCTCCCACCCCTTGCTTCGGGTTTGGCTACTGCAAGAGTTTACAGATGCAAAAAAAAGACGGATCGAAGCAGCGCCAGCTGCTGCTGCTAAGGCTGCTGCTGCTGCTGCTGCTGCTGCTGCTGCAATTGCCTAGGCAGTGCCGGCAGCTGCAGCAGAGGCCCTGAAGGCCCTGCTCTTCAAATTGTTTACAAATAAACTAAATACACTTAGCACCATTGCATGCCTTTAGGCAACGCACTGTGCTGCAGTGAGAGACCCACGCGAGCGGTCTTCTGTCTCTGCAGCGTACACCTACAGAAATTATTGTCTGTCACCCTCTGTTGCATGTTGTTCCTGGGCCCTTTGTTGTTGCTGCTGCTGCTTCTTTTGCTGCTGCTGCTGCTAAGTGTGGCGTATGCAGCTGCAGCAGCCACCTGGAGCAAAATCCAGCTGTCTCCTAAAGGGCTTTATTTCAGATGTCCAGGACATCCCAACTGTCTCCTTCTCTAATAGCTGGCGAGCAAAGCTCTTGTATAAACTGTCTCTAAACAAGAGACTGCTGCATGCAGCCGCTCCACGGAGACGCCGCAATGCTGCCGGCTGTGCATTGCTAGTGCAGAGCCTTTGTTTAAATCTTTAGGTCTTCGGGACCCCCTACAGAAAGGAGACCCCAGACACACCTCTTGAAGGAGGAGACATTGGAGACAGTGCGCGCACTTTTAACTCAGTCTCCTCCCCAGCAGTCCCCTCGCCTTGTGGTTTCTATGCTGCCGCTGTCGTGGCTGTGGGGCCCCACAGCCCCCTCCCCAAGTACAGCTGCATGCAAATGAATAGCAGCAGTCTCCAACAAGGCGTAGCGTAAGGGTGCGATGCCGTTAATTTCAGTGTCTCCTCGTCCCCAACTGTCTCCTCCTTCACCCTTCCCTGTGTCTCCTCTCTTGACCCCTCCTCTGGAACCTCCTCTGGAACCGCCGCCCCAGAGCACTCAACCACCTTTTTAAACTAGCTAAGGCCCTTCTTAAAGGAGACGAGGGACAAGAAGCTTCTTTGTCAGCAGACTGGGGCTTTACTACCTCAGGTACGAAGGTAGTAACAGAAAACTGCTGCTGGTCTACGCTGAGGAGCTCTGGCCGCTTCTCTGCAGCAAAACGCAGCACGCCTGCGTCGCCCGCTGCAGCAGCTGCAGCAGCTACAGAGGAAAGAGATACCCCATTGTCTGTCTCGTCCAGTTGAAGAGACTCCCTATCTGCTGTCTCCTCAGGAGGAGACAGAAGAGCGCCCTTCAATAAAAATTTTGCTGTCTCCACCACCCCAATGACTTCTCCTACTAGCCGCCCGAACTGCAGCCAAAACTCCACGTAGACAGTCTCTGTAGATACACCCCAAAAGCAAGACCATCACCACCCCACAACTCTATGAAGACAGAGACAAAAGCAAACAAGAATAGTAGTGAGTAGCAACGATAGGAGACACAGGAGACCCCCAACAGAGCAGCAGAAGAGCGTATTGCATATAGAGGAGGAGAGAAGGAGACAAATTAAAAGGAGACAGATACAGCCCCTAAGCAACGATCCCCCTCACCCCCACTAAACCACCACTTCGCAGCAACCCCACGGGTTGTCTTCCCCCAGCCGCTGCTGCTGGCGCAAGCAAACGTTGGATACCGCAGCAGCCAGCTGTCTCCTTTCTTTGAAGGCCACTGCAGCAGCAAACTTGAACGCTTTCCTGGGAATCGCAGCTGCACCGATTGCTGCTCTGCGTCTACAGCACAACAAACCCCACAACCTCAGCTGCCTATACACCTCAACACCCCCCAAACAAACATCAAAACTACCAAATGAAACATCTTTCAGAAGCTGCCTTCTGCAGCTCCGGAATGAGTATAAAGGGCAGCATCTCTCTACCTGGATAATAAATAAAATACATAATTATTAAAGTGCTAATGCCTCATTCAATATTAAATTGCATATAATGCTAAGGAGGATACGAAGTGTCTGCCTCTTCGGCCAGAGGCGCAGCAAGCGCGTGCCCGTCGTTGCTGTGTGTCTGTGTGTACATATGTATATGTTATACATATATCTGCATATGTATGTTTATATGCATATATCTATATATATATATAAGCATGTATATACATATGTATATTTATATATGTATATGCATATATGTATATATGTATTCATGCATATGGATATATGAGACAACGAATGCTAGAGAGAGCTAAGGGATGAAGAGGGTAGAGAAAGAGACAAAGAGAGTCCCCACCGTAGAAGCAAATGGGGTGGCCCTCGCCGTTGCTGTCTGTCTCTCCTTCACTTAGCTGCCCCACTTGCAGCAGCAGCAGCCGATCCCCAAGAATGACTTCAGCCGCCTGCATATACACCCCACGCAGCATGCCTACGCATGTATATATATATATATATATATATACATATAATATACATATATATATTATTTTGCTTTCTATGCATATTATATATATGTAGACAAGAGACAGAATGAAAAGGAGACAGGAGACAGAATTAAATAGAGACAGGAGACAGAATTAAAAGGAGACAGGAGACAGGGACTTACCAGCCAGGCTTCTGCGAGCCATTTAGCGAGGGCAAATCGGTGGACAAGGCCGTGCTCGAGCAGGCGTATTTTATGCATGGGGTTTTTGAGGGTTGAGAACTGTCTCTCTTCTCCCTCCACCTGTTTACTCTTGATTTGCTGCTGCAGGGGCCTCTCACTGACGCAGATTGCCTCCACTGTCTCTGCTGCGTCTCCCGTACCCCGTACTGTGACTTGTCTCTCGACCTGCTGCTGCGAACTGTCTCCTGTCTCCCCTGCTGCAGCGGCGTCTCCAGCCACTGTCTCCTCTTGGTCTATAGGGAAGGCTACGCCTGCTGGGGAGTTTTGCACGTCTGTCTCCTGGGTAGCAGGATCAGGTGTCTCTCCTGTCTCTGCAGCTGCAGGCCCAAGTGTCTCCTCTGTCTCTGCTGCTGCAGGTGCAAGCATCTCCTCTGTCTCTTCAGCTGCAGGTGTATGCGTCTCCTCTGTCTCTTCAGCTGCAGGTGTATGCGTCCCCTCTGTCTCTTCAGCTGCAGGTGTAAACGTCCCCTCTGTTTCTTCAGCTGCAGGTGTAAGCGTCCCCTCTGTCTCTGCTGCTACAGGCGCAGGCATGTCCTCTGTCTGTGCAGCTGCAGCCCCAATTGTCTCCTCTGTCTGTGCAGCTGCAGGCCCAGGTGTCTCCTCTGTCTCTGCAGCTGCAGGCCCAGGTGTCTCCTCTGTCTCTTCAGCTGAAGGCGCATGCGTCTCCTTTGTCTCTTCAGCTACAGGCGTAAGTGTCTCTTCTGTCTCCGTGGGTGTCTCCCGGTCAGTGTCAATATCATCATAGTGGGGCTTAACTTGCATTTGCATGAAGGCTTCAATTTGCTGGGGCTTACGCCCAGCCTTCACCAAGCCCTGAAGATATTCTAAATAAGCAAGAGGGCTGCCGTGATTGCCTACAGTAAAGTTGCACCGCTTGAGGGGCCTCCGGGGGCCCCCCAACACAGTCCCTACAGTGCTGTTGACGTCTACATGAGAGCATATTGGGCTCCTTATGTCTAATCCCGCGGGGGCTTCAAAGGCCTGTACAGCAGAAAGGAGACAGTTGCAAACAGACAGAACAGAATGAATAAACAGAAGAAAATAAACAAATGAAAGGGTAAAAAACAAAAATAATGACAGAAGAGGATATAAATAAATAGACAGACAAAAACAGAGTTTATAAATAAAAAACTGCAGAGACAGACACAGAAGAAGGAGACAGTTGCAGCAAGCAAATATAAAGAAACACCCCATCACAGCAAGATGCTTCAGCTGTGCATACAGCTGAAGCCTTGCAACACCAACAACAAAAACAGCAGCAGCAGCAGCAGCAGCAGAGATGGTGAAGAGAGAAGACAAGGAGAGAAAGGAGACAGGAGACAGCAGAGACAGTCTCTTAGGGGCCTAAAATGACTCACAAGAACCACCGTGCTGCCGAATTGAAAGGCTCCCATCTCCTGCCCCATACAAAGAGGAACGGGGCTGTGATAATTATAGGTGAAGGCCTTGCGCATGCGACTGCATGCAGGGGTAAGGAAGAATTTATTCTTATCCAAGTGTCTCCTATAATATAACTCTATACCCCCAACCAAACTTGCTGCCACAAAAGTCATTGAAAAAAATAAACGAGGGCCCCCTTTATTGTTATTTCCTGGATCCCAACTCCCTTGAACTGAGGTTCGTTCAAAAGCATCAAGAATATTTCTGTTTAAAAGAACTCGGCGTTGTACCTATAGAAGAAGAATATAAATAAACTCATAATAAGCAGTATATACACCTCAGCAGCAAATTGTGAAGCATATACACCTCAAAAACAAACTACGCAAGTTAAATACACATCAAAACAAACTACAAGCAATGAAGAACCCATAATATATAAACATCGTAATAAAATATTAACAAATCACTTCATATAAACAGAAATAAACAAACATAACATATTATAAACGCTAAAAGAGACAAAACAACCACAAGAAAGAAGCAATAACTGAGTAAACAGCTCCATCATAAAAGAAAGACGAAACAAAACAATTTTATTATATAGATTATGTATATTTACATTAAATAAAACAAGTATATTGTAAAAGAATCAAAAAACAATATATAATAAAAATATATAATAAAAAGAAAGAAAACATTTATTTTTATAAAACAACAACCAGAAGACAAAGACACACTCCAAACATGTAGTTCAAAAGCCCCATCTGTACATACAGCTCGTCACAGTGCATGCAGCCTCAGTTTCATGCAACGCATGCATGCATGCGCATGTGCATGCAGCAGCACCCCACAGGCCAGGCAGGAAACAAGGGCCTGTGCTGCCGCCGCCGCCGCAGCAGCAGCAGCAGGAGCTGCTTCTGTTGCTGCTGTGGCTGGTGCTGCTGCTGCTTGACCCGAATAGAAGCTACAGCGGGGGTGGGAGCTCCGCGCCAGCGGGGGAGGGAGGGAGTGTATAATAAGTGCGTGCATGCAAGGGCTTAGGGCTTGCATGCATCTGTGCTTACAGAGGGTGTACATCCTGGGATATAAATGTGTCTGGTTGCTTCCCAGTCTGCTGCAGAGTGAAACCGATGATAGTCTGTTGGAGCTAAGTAAAACACCTGTACATACAGCCGGTGGTTGGGGCTTTGTAGCTGCAAATCTAAGTTTGTGCCCCGCCCAAATAAAAACTCCGATAAATCAAACGTCGTCCCCTTCACCTATATACACACAAACAAAAATAATGCATGCAAAAAAATGCATGCAATAGAGATGATGCATGCAATAGAGATGATGCATGCAATAGAGATGATGCATGCAAGAGAGATGATACAATAGAGATGATGCATACAAAATAATGCATGCAATAGGACGCATGCAATAGATATGATACATGCAAACAACAGCTGCATGCAGACAGACAGCTACATGCAGACAGCAGCTGCATGCAAGCAACAGCTGCAGGCGCAAAGACAGCCGCACTAAACCCTGTCAACGGGCGTCTACACTGCAGCATAACCCGCAGCAGTTGCAGCATCAGCAACAGCAGCATCAGCAACAGCATCAGCAGCAACTGTAGCAGCTGCAGCAAGAGCTGAGCAGCAACATCTGCAGCAGCATCAGCAGCAAGTGCATGCACGATAAGTGTGTATATGTTTGTTGTTGTGTATACCTGAGGAATGCGAGCGGCAACTATTTTACCGTCTTTGTCGGGTGTAATGAAGAATGCGTTTTGCAAGACAGAGTCTGCAGGAGAGACAACTAATGCATCTCTGTCTATAGGCCTCAAGACGTCGGTATTAATTGGGCGAGAGAAGAAGCTGCCTATACACTCGAAGTGCCGACCGCCCCCCTGCCATGTCTGAGCCGTACTAAACGCCTCTTCGAGATCTGCACCATACACATATCATCATACACCTAAACCCTAAACCCTAAACCCTAAACCCTAAACTTTAAAATCTAAACTCTAAACCCTAAACACTAAACACTAAACCCAAAACTCTAAACCTTAAGCTCTAAACCCTAAACCCTAAACCCTAAACCCTCTGGAGCCCCGCTAGGGCCCCTGTGGGGCCCCTTTTTAAATATTGATTGTTCTCACCAATGTTTGTCATTGCAGCAAACTTCCAGAGGAAACAAGGAGACACCCGAAGTCGAGAGAAGAAACCCCCAACACGAGACAGCATCCGGGTGTTATCAGTAAAAAAATTACGAAGAAAGCCACGCCCTGAAGCACAAACAGCAGCAGCAGCAGCAGCAGCAGCAGCAGGGAAAGTAGTAGATAAACGCCAAGCTACACCGAAAACTCAGCCATCTATAAGTTCG